GCATGATGTGAATAGTTTCCTGAATATTCACCTCATGCCATAACACCAGAAGTTTTGCTACTTTTAACAGCCTGACATGTGGGGAATGAGTTTTCCCTCTTTTCCCACTCCATCTTCTCGTGATTAAATCCCAGTCTTGCGTCACAGCAGGCTCATGCAGCCACCCATGGCCCTTCACTGGATTAATTAAAAGCATTTCTATTATAACCACTTCATGGGATGAGAACAATAAGCCACTGTAAAAGAGCAATACAACATTGGGAGGTAGATCTGTGCAGAGTGATTGCTTTCCCTGGTGTTTCAAGTTAATGGATGTAAGAAGACAATAAAAAAAACACTGGTTACGTTCACCGTTGCATAACTTCCTGTTGAGATCGCAAGTTTTTTAAATAATATGCGAATATATCACCAATTAAAGTTGATTTCAGTTGCATTTTGTATTCTAAATTAATTGCATGTAACACTATTGGTTACTAGTTTTAACGCGTCTTAAGTAGCCAGACCTTTGATTATCTGACTTGCAAAAAATTAACAATTAACCACTGTTCGCCTTTTATGATTTTGAGTTTGCTTTTTGCTTTTGATTTGTTGTGATTCAGCGCTCAGGGCTCCAGACTGCAACCAAATGTTTGCATTTTCATAGGTTTACACTGGCTGCCAATCACTATCCTAGACTAACTGGGACTTGACTTACTATACTGTTGTAGTGAGTCAAACTTACTACAAACTTGTATTATTTGTATTGTATTATGTGCTTTGAAACAATCTGTATTGTAAAAAGCGCTGTATAAATAAAGGTGACCTGACGTCCTCTTGTTGATTTGATTGCTTCTATTGTTCTCATTTGTAAGTCGCTTTGGACAAAAGCGTCTGCTAATTGAGTAAATGTAAATGATAAACTATTAATTAACTCCATCTCATCATCCTAACAAGCCTGAACCAGAGGAGCCTCTCGAGACATCTGTACAATGACGCATTTGGTGTGAGTCAGAGGCTGTCATGAGAACTGTCATCTTGGAAACTGAATCAAATGTATGGAACAATGCCTTCTGGAAGACTACAGTTTGATATCTAATGTTACACCTCAGTCCACAACCAATGAATTGTGCTTAATTAAAAGCAGATAAAAAGATGAAAAGCACCAGTGTTTCCAGGGTCTTTGCTAAGGAAAGCCATGCACTTGAATCACCAAGGCAATAAATTATATAAGATTGAATCAGTCAGATTCAATTCAAACTCACTTACTGACTGAATCATCTTAGATTAGACACTCGCTTACTGAACCGCACAGATCATTAGATCTGACTCAAAATACCACTAATAGTTACAGGGTTGCAAAGTATTGAAAAAAATAAATAAAAATTAATCTGTGATGACGTTTATTAATGCGATACGATAATGCTTTCAATGTGTAAAATCTATTTTATAAAATGTAATTATAAAATCTTTTATAAAAATTTTATATATAAACAAATAAAAAAAATTTCATTGCAACTAGGGATGCACCGAAATGAAAATTCTGGGCCAAAACCAAAAATTCCGGATGCAATTCGGACCCATAAATGATACATTTCTTATTTTAAATTATTATTTTTTTTGTATAATTAAATTTTTTATTAAATTTAATAATATAATGAATCTGATTAAAATAATAATTATCAAGCCAAAAAAATAAAATAACCACACTTTTATTTCAAGTCACACAATAATTGGACAGAAAACCAATTATTAAAATAGTGGAGTAGGGCGACATATTCGGTTATGACAGTCAGTCAACACGGTGAAACTCTTTCAAGATGATTCAATGTTCCTATTATACTATACATCTGTAGTAGGGCTGTGCAAAGATTAATTGCGATTAATCGCAACCAAAATAAAAGTTTGTGTTTACATAATATCTATATCTATATAATATCTATGTGCTGTGAATAATTATTTTGTATACACACACACACACATGCATGTATATATTTCAAAAAAAATATGTTATTCACATATAAAATATTTATATTTATATACAATATAGAATGTATTTATAAATATACAGTATTTACATGCAAATAATCATTAAATATATACAGTACATGCATATACACAAAATAATTATACACAGCACAAACACATATATATTATAAACACAAACACATCCTTCATCCTTCACAGATTGTCTTAAAACAAAAATGTTAAAGCTACACTGTGTAACTCTTAGTTTATTCTTAGCTAAAAACACTTTTTTCAAAAATATATGTGCTCATTAATGTATATTTACTTCGTTCAAGTAATAAAGTATTCTCGTGAGTGAATAATATGCCATTGAAAATACATACGGGTAAGTGGTCACCATGTTGCCCCTCCATACATTAGCCAAAGAGGGACATACCCGTTAATTCAAGCTTCGCCTTTCGCGTTTACGTTTCGGTTAACACTCATGGACGAGGTCGAACTGGAAGCCATGTTAATCTTGGACTAGATTGGCCACCGTAGGAGTTAAAACGAAATCGGAATTGAGAGGAACAGAAACTAATATTCACTGGATGGACATATACCTTTTCACCACTAGATAGGGGTAAAAATCACACAGTGTAGCTTTAAGATGTTGGATAACTCTTATTTAAAAAAAAAATGTAAACAGTAGGAATTTCATTGGCTATGTTCACTCCTTAATATATATTTTTTTCACTCCTTTTGTTTTTTAATTAATATTAAAACATTACGAAAAATAATAAATAAAGTTAATTTCACCTACAGCCTAAATTAAGCTTAGTGATTTATTGTTAGCCCCAGTTCTTCCAGAAGAACATACGTCACTTATATGACAATGTCACGCTAACTCAAGTCACATCTTATCAGCACATAAATGAGTAACATCTGGAACATAAACTTGCCTAAATCACCTGCGGCTAAGTGCAAGTTGGCATACAGCCTGGCACACTGTGTGTGGCTAACAACTGTTTATCAAACAGATAATTGCCTGACCCATATCCGTTTTGGGGTTAAGTGCTGACTGATGCTCACCAACTTTGGCACATACTTCAAAGCTGGAGATAGGAGCATGTTTATTCATTTTTATTCAGCAGGGGTTGGTAACTATCAAAGTCCTAAACCTAGAGAGAATACACAACGATTTTTCGGATATGATTAGGATAAAGAGCTCTGTGACCCTTTTCATCGACAAACACCACCTCTGGCACTATGGGAAGGAGCTCCATATGTTTTTCTTTCATGAAGGATGTTAGTGTCTGGTCACAGTCATCCAGGGCATATGAGATCTACATTTCCCTAGCACCATACAACCTCGCGATCAAGTTTTATAGACCACAGCTCAGGGCAAATAAAATTCCCAAGGAATTGAACAAAAGAGGAGCTCCATATAGCTAAAACCGCACTGCAAAAAAAGAGCAGTCACTGACATCTCAAGGAATCCTGTACGTCACTGAGAGTGCAGAAACAGCTCTTTCTGGCACACGGACTGAAGGTCATGTGGAAGTATTTATTTGAGGATCGGGACCCTCTTGGGGAAAGCTCTGCAGAATTCTTGGTCCTGAGAATTTGCTGGTCTTTCTCTTACCACATAAGAAGTCCAATGCAGAGAATGAAAAACAGCGTGCAAAGCAAGCAGACAAAAATACCACGGACTTGGAGCGTAAATGGGATGCATTTCTGATGAAAACAGCTGACTTGCTCTGCTAAAACTTTTTCTTTTGCAGAAAACAGCTTTGCCTCCAGCAGACATTAGTTAAAACATGTGAGAGCTCATGAGCTCTCAACAAAAGCCATTTGTAATTGCAACACTATAGCAAACAAATTTGACAGCAAATAGGCCTATCTGAAAAGAAAATTTAGCTAAAGTGCAACCATAGCAGTTAAATGTATAAATTACAATAAACAACACCAGTCATAGATATTGTAAATGGTTCTAGCCTTTTTGGACTCCTTTATCTTATGGGCCTACACTTTTAGCCACCCTGTCTCTGTCTCACACACGGAAATTTAATAAATACTTTGTATTCGGCTGAATTGTCAGTGACGTTTCAATTTTATTGCCTTCTGCGAGTCTGAGCAATTATATAAATAACAATAAACACTAATAATGACTCATCCCCATTTCCACTACCTGCCAAACCCCTAATGTTATTCGCCGGTCTTCAAAACTTGAGAGCCCTGCACAAACACAATGTAAATACACATCACTAAGATGTCATCAATCAGTAATAGAAGAAATTACCTTGTTCGGCATCACTCTAGTCAAAGACTTATGTAACTGCCACAAAACCCTGACTGAAATATGAATCTGTGATGTGGGTGACCTGGCAAAGTACTCTGGTCTCTAACCAGATGATGAGATGGTATGGGTAGAAAGACTTGTTTACTCTCCTATTGACAAAAAAGCTAAAATACCTAAGAGTTTTTATCATGAAAAAAAAAAAAAAAACTACAGGACAATTTTTTTTCCAATCTTGTCTGTTTTCCCCCACAAAAGTAGCCTGCTTAGTTGCGTTCAATTTTGAGCTTTAAGGACAGAGACGTGGACAGAAACTTGACAAGATGTCGCCCTAAACTGTTGAAACTAGCCTAACGTTATAGACTGACAATACAAAATCATTAAAGCTCTTTTTAAAACGAAAATCGTGAATAGTCTTTGTTATTTCACTAAAATCCTGTAACATTTAGGCTAATTTATGCTGGATCCCCCTGGACATTAACTCGATATCACACAAAACAGCATGTTAAGCACATTACACAGCTTTTTAAGCAAAAAGTTATTTACAGCTACTATAATTCGGTCAAAAAATAACCGAAAACTACACTGATAACTCTGCCAACCATGATTTCCGACAGAAAGCCGGTTTTCGGGCAACACCCTCCTCAGCCACACAATCCGCTTAAATGCTCATCATACATGGCGCTCTGGTCGCTTACCAAGTCAACAGTCAGCTTTTAACATCTAATACACATTTATTAAGATAGATTGCGAAAGATTATACCTAAATTCTACTTACCGAAAGGTTCCAGCAAATAATCTACAATGTCTGGGTGACTCAAGCCTCGCCATGCGATCGTAGTGATGTCCGATTCGCGAGCCAATCGTTCTGTTCAAAGTTCTTTCTCATGAATCAGACGAACCGATTCGCAAAACCAAATGGTTCAATCAGATCAATTTACCGGAGTTCTAACAAGCCTTGATAACGTTTGATTCGTCAAATGAACGGACAAATCAGTGTGACTAAAACTTGATAATTTTAAAGAAAAATGTTTTGTAAATTTGGATGAAAACAGCTACTGTTAATAATGGACGAATAATGAATAATGGCATCTCAGTGTTTGGCGTTTTATGCCTTCATGCTTTGGACAATCCCAGACATGTCTAGACACTAAAGTTTGCTTCTTCTTGGTTTTTCTTTTTTTTTTTAGTGAGTTTTCACATTTGAATTGGCTGTCATTTGCAATAGGATTACGCCTACATTATTGTATAGGCTATTTAAAAAATAGTTTTGTGTGGCTGTAGTGCAAATAAAAATTAAACAATAATTATAATACGTATTAGTAGGGTATTATGTCATAGATTGTTGTTATAGTATAGGCCTATATGTTCCAAATTACCATAATGGTAAACTGTGAATGTTGCAAAATTAGTTTCAACACAATAGCCAGATGGCCTAAATTACATCATATGCTAATCAACTAGATCATTAAAAAGCTTACTAGAATATTTTAAATAAATAATACACAGTCCATTCAAAATACAAATTGTGGGGATTCCCTTTCCCTAATATGCATCAGTGTTCAAAATGAATCTTGAATCGGTTGTTGAATATGACTTATTAAAATGATGTGTTCAAAGGAATCGAATCGATTCTGTGAAATGAATTGAACTACCTAGCACGTTCTCCTCCCACACTCTCCTTTGATTCTGCGTCACGACCAGCGACATGACAACAGCGCCAGATTAAAAACTAAAGCGCGATTTCAAATCTTTATGAGTCCATGTTTGTTAGGAATTTTTTAATAATGCCTTTATTAAATAACTGTGCTAGAGGTTTTACAAGATGTTTTATCTAAATGTCTGAATTAAGAAAACTGCCCTTATTGCTAATTATTTAATAAAAGGTGTGTTTGGATGTTATTGGTAGGCTGTATTTGGGATTTTTTACATTTATTCTCAATGTTCAAACCTTATAGGTTAAAGAGTTGTATAGGCCTGTATTAAACATCTACAGCTAATACTGTGATGCCCAGCCCACCCATGTGTTATCTTATATGGGCCATTCTACAAAATTGGTGCAAACTGCTTTCCCGACAACCAAAAAAAAAAAAAAAAAAAAAAACCTTTGAAAAACTTTAAAACTTTTAAACAACATCTGTAATGTGATGTGGTCACTAGTGAAAATGTGCCGTCACAACCGAAACATGGATGTTTTGTCTAAAATAAAGTATATTGAATTATCAACTAAGATGTTATAGTTTTCAAACTAATGAATTCTTTACTTTTAAATCAGTAGGATTAACTTCATGCCTTTTACAAAGAAATATTGGATTCAAAATACAACAAATCTTATAAATTACACTTGAAATATTGTTAAAATTATAGCCTAATCGTTATTGATTTGCCTGTAAATATATACTCTAAAAAATGCTGGGTTGTTTCAACCCAAATTTGGGTCAAATATGGACAAACCCAAATGTTGGGTTAAAAATGTAATTTAAAAATGTACATCTGAAAGTGAAATTTGAAGTTGGGTTAAAATTTTAATTGACATTTTTAACCCAACATTTGGGTTTGTCCATATTTGACTCAAATTTGGGTTGAAACAACCCAGCATTGTTATATATACTGTATCTATATATATTTAATAGCAAAAAATATATATTTAAAAAGTAGATGTAAACAAAATATAAATACCGAGGCCAATATAAGCCTTCTTATTAAATTATATATATATATATATAATATAGCCAACCCGGAATCACCACAAGACGTGAAATAATCACGTTGGTCCACTTTGGAAAACGTGTAGATGTCACGGTTTAAAACCGTGGGTTAAATGGCGGTGGGACATTTTTGGAAACTATTTTTTTCCACAAATTTTGTATGTGCAAATTGTATAATATTGAATGAACACATTTCTAGTAAATGTGCGGTTCGTTGTCATATTGTGTTTTCAGAATGTTTAGGAATATTTTTCCTCTCCCTAACTTTGATACCAATTTTAAACCGTGACATCTACACGTTTTCCAAAGTGGACCAACGTGATTGTTTCACGTCGTCTTGTCGTGATACCGGGTTGGCTGAAGAGCAGCGCCTCCGCGAGGCACAGACCTGTATGCAGTTTTCTGTTTTACAAGAGAAATGGCAACGTTCTACCAAAGATATCTTGGCCTATTCATATTAAACACATAATAACTTTTTAATAAATAGGCTACGTTATTTTTTAATTAGTTGATTTGTTTTGTAAATGCATTTATCATTTAAAGAGGTTGTGAACATGTCAGTCAGACTCATTGCTACTCCGGAATTATGTTATTTCATTTGCACATGTCACGTGTGAATTCATGTCTCATGACAAGAAACATTGGAATGTTGGTAATTCACATTTTTTTTTATTGAATTAGTTGGTTTAGTTTTGTAACAGATTAAAGTATGAATAGAAGTTAAGGCTATGGGAATTTTTTTTTTAAATCTGTTACACTTTTTGTCAGCTAAGCTTGTAGTGCTACAAAGCAACTCTTGGTCAACATCATTATTTCTCCTTATAAAAAAAAAACCAACAACTTGAGATTCAGAAAGGTGCTATAGCCTAAATCATAGAGGAACAGGGCTGTAATCATACTGAACCCCATTATATAGCCTAACATTCGGTTTAGTTTTAAGATTGAAGTACAAATAATGACGTATTTTTTTAATAAAATATAGCCTATATATTTTTTGATCATTTAGCCTAAATACAACGTAACTAATACAATTTTAGTTGATTATTAAGATTGTGTCTCTAAATTTGAGTTTATGCTTGCCATACATTCAAACTCTTTATTTCAGGACAGGTGTGTGCATGTTACAATAAAACATTATAGCCTAATAATATAGGCGGGTGGTCCAGGCATGCCCGCCCGCCCACGAATTAACACTTCCATCAATTATGTAAAAGAGACATTAACGAGGAATGCACATCTATAGCCGTCGTTCTACATATAGACCGACAAACTCCACGGCAGACACTCGATCGTCATCATCATCACTAGATGTTCAGAGATGCAGCAAGAGCGCGCAGACATGCTGGTGACCAGAAGAAAATACAAGAGATACTCCAAACAGAAAATGACGTACCTGGGTCTGATCGCTTCTGTCATTCAAAACGCACCTGAGAAAAGATTAACCTTTTACGAGGTAAGTTGTAACTTATATATTTTGCGGTAGGCTATCAATTATAGGCCTAGGCCAATTGATGTAAGAAGTAGCCTTTATGCTTCAACAATATGTAGCTCTGTTTTTCTCCCCCTTTATTTTTTATTTTTTTGGAGGCTATTTCTATTGTATTGTAGCCAAAACATGATCATTGTTGGAAATTACGAATAAATACTACTTGGCGGAAGAATAGACCTTATTTAGAGCATATGACAGGAATGAAAGCAGGGCATCCGCTGTAAAAAGCTGTAAAGCTCATATTCCACAGCATACTGTCTAAAGTTTTCTAACTGAAATTTCTTAGTAAAGATATAAAAAAAACGCACATGGCACCTTTTGCGTCAATATGAGATGCAGAAATAAATGGGACAGAAGGCGCCTCCTAGTGGTCTAACCCTAACCCTACCCCAGACCTAAACCTATACCCAAACTCTGTGCGTGTAATATTGATGCTAAAGGGTGCCATGTGCGTTGGATGTATACGCATTGGCAAAAGCGTCGTATACGACGCCCTGGGGTGAGAATGCGTTGAATTAGCCTACAGTGAAGAAATGCCCTGGGTTCAAATTTCTGATTTAGACCGTGCAAACTTTATTGAATGTTGTTGTCTAAGCCACTTTCCTATAGGTTTCTTTATATAAAGTAAAATCAGATACATATAGGCTATTGTTTTTATTTGATTTTAATTATAGCCCCTCCCTCCAGCTAATGAATGCAGTGACGATATTTGTGGATGGGGATAGAAAAGGGATTGAGAATAATATCAGAGTCTGTTTATCATCAAACAACTGTTTTGTAAAGGTAGGCATTTTTTTTCTTATTACTATTATTATTAGTAGCCTAGCCTATTAGGCCATGGACTTTCATTAAATATGCTTTCCATTCAAATTTTCAGGTGCCTATAAATCCGCAGTTACCAAACGCAAAGCGCAACTTTTGGAAAGTGGATGATAGTAAAATCACCCCAAAGATCCTGCGACGACACTTCCGTGGTCTGTGTGACGTCTTTCCTGACCTTTATGAAAATAAGAATGCGACGGAAAGGGCAACCTGGAAACATCCTGAGGCCGAAAAGAAATTTACCAGCCCGTTTTCCATTGAGTCACTTTTGCAGCGGGAAAGCAGCGCCTCCGTGAGGCTTTGTGCAACCAGAACCTTTGAAAACGTGTTTCAGGTCCGAGCAAACAGAGACCATGGTTTGGCATGCATGAGGAAGACATGGGACTGGCCCAATCAAAGTGGATCGTATTCACCCTTTTGTTTTGCTACTTACAGTTTTAGCCAAATGAATGATGGATGCAGTCCCTCTAGTGGACCCTCAAAGAGGATGCGCTCAGTTTCTGAAATGTCCCATACTACAGCACTGTCTTTTAGACATTTCACTTCAAACGCTGTGAGATGGGCCCACATGTAAAACTACACTTAGCATACACTTGACTTTCCTCTTACTGATTTACTTTGTATTGCTGAACATATCTGCCAGGTTCCCGTTTGCCAAATAAAATGACAGTCTGTTTTTAAAATGTAGCCTATATATGTTGGGAAACAGCTAGTGTGGGAGGTATTTTGCCAAGTAGTAGTTCTATAGCCCTTTATTAAAAGCAATTTAATGATAAGCCTTCCATTCAGACACACAAAAATGAATGATTCAAATAAAATTTATTGACGTCCAGGTCCCAGCAGTCAATATGCATGCAGATACAGGC